ATAATCAACAACACATATGCTCCTATGAAGGCAAAACAACTGCTATAATGAACATTACCTAAGGTGTGATGTGGTACCGTAACTCCGGATTGTTTGAGGCATAAACAATTGTGAGCACAACCAGATTAAAATGATTTGGAGAGGAGCAGCATGCACTCATCATGCTCATACCTGGTTCATGGGTACAGCATTTAGATTATAATTCACTCATCTACACAGTTAGCACGTTGATGTTGCATCAGGCCATCTGGGGAACAGACTTCCATTTGTGTTTAAATTTGCGGCTCAATGAGGCTTGTCTTTGCGCACTCGGGTCCAAATGCATTATCAACCCGCATGGTGAACAAAACTATTATTTCTCAGTTTCAATCTGTACCATCAGAGCACTGAAAATGGATTAGATGAGGATCTATGGATAGCAGAGTGTGTGTACGGTACCTGAACATTGCAGCTCATATTGCTTATTGTATTTACGGACGATAATGGGGATAATGGAATATACATGAACTGTTAATGTGGAGGCACAGGGAGACAGATTTACAGTGGCGATCATTTAAACCGAAAGCAGCAAGAATCCTGGCACATTAAACGATTCCTTGACTGCGATGCACCCAAAACAATTTCTCGCTCGAGTGACCGTACTTGCTTGTTCTGCAATCTGATTAAGCTGACTCTCGGTCGGTGAAGAGACAAGGGAGGGTCTCTGTCTTCTCTCTCTCTTTTTCAACCATCCGTCCACTCTCCGCTTAATAACAGTCATCTGTAAGGATAACTGTTAGATTGATCGCGACATGCCTGGGGCTAATGGCACCCATTTGTTAGATTAGCATCTGTTCTATTTGCAGAAAAAGTTGCCACTGCCATCAGCAGTTTCAAGATATAGATAACACTTTCCAAACCTGTAAATTGAATCATTCAAATGCCGTATGTATGCATTCATGCATTGGGCGTTGCCTGCAAATTTACACGGCCACTCACCAACACAAAGCACACACACACACACACACCGAGGTACAACACGTGATGCCAGAATGTGACCCGACACTGACTCAGGAGAAAGTGATGCAGATTGCAGTACTGGCACTCGGATGTGATTGAAATCTTGAATAATTCTCCAAACTGGTGATGAAATGAATCGTAAAGGAGGCTGACAGCATAAGTTAGACCCTATTAGGCTTAATAAGAGTCAGACAGGACAATCCTGGAAATGACAAAGAGCTATAGATGAGTTGTTGGCAATACTTTTTTATGATGGGGACATTAAATAGAAAGAAACAAAGGCTTATTATTAGACTATTGTTGCTTTATGTTGAATATAGATAACCAATCTCAGCCACTATTTGGAACTTTATTTTTATTTTGGCAATATCGTAGAATTCTGTTTTTCCTGCTTCACATTCTGCATAAACTTTCAATTCAAGGAGCTGCTCAGTACTCAGTATTTAAAGGTTGTAAATCGGGGCAGTGAGTCACTTCTGATTCCATAAGGTGTTAAACATTACGGGTTATCGGTTAGATATGAAGGCACTCTCATTTTCAAAATGAGAAATTTTAAAAGATTCCCCGACATGGTTCATTTGACTGTAATATACATGGTGTGAGTCAAAATGATGAATTCTACTAATGTACAGCTCACTGATAAAGTCAACTACTGTAATCACAAAATGTTCGACAAACAGATGTCTGGTCATGCTGGTAGTTCTTTTGTTTAGTCCACTGAATTTAATGGCTGAATTCCATTTAGCTGCTTCAGTTTCAGGGGTCTTGGTATTACTTGTCATCTAAAGTACTAAAACACGCACATGAACTGCCTCTATCCTTTGGTTTTCTTAAATCATAGTACAACAAAGTGTTTGCAGGGAAAGTATAGTAATAAGAGACAGAAATGTCGTAATTTTAGTATAAATATGATGATTACTTACTGGAACTTCGTATGTAATTTAGTAATGATGAAAGGTAAGTTAAAAATTTGGCTCATATTTTTTCAAGTCTGAAAATTCTTACAATCTATATTATAAAATGGTGAATGCGAGTCTTTACAGTCTCTAATGCATGGCAACCCTTTCTATTAGTCACACTAAGTAGTGGGTAATTTAAAGTTAAACACAAATACCAAATAATTGAAGCCATTACACTAGACACTTAGCACATGGTGATTTCGTTATAAACTAATTGTATGACTCATCAGTTCGAGTAATTACAATGTAGGATTAGGAGGGAAAAACTGTTTAATCGTATACTTCCAAGGATTTCCTTAAATTAAAATAATAGATTAAATTGTTTTATTTTTTCAAATTCAAGCAATTAGATTCTTTCCATCTATCTATTCACATGTCTTATTATTCTCACCAAGTACTTTGGTTTTAAGGGGAGACATAGCAAATATCAGTCATGCTACATTTCCCTTCAAATATTTTTTGAGAGCATCTTCTCCAGAAGCAGGGGTAGAATATCATGTAAGTAACAGATGAGTTTTGGTATGGTTCACCTCAGTTTAATGTTTGGATTGAAGAAACCTTCTCATGTTTTATCTGAAGGACTTGCACTTGATATAAGTCTGATTGATATGTAAATTAAAAAACATATATATCTTAGATTCTAGATGAAGTCCCTGAGTGTTATCTGCTGGAGAAAACCTTTTTCAGTTTCACCTGAGATGCTTCTTTAGATTAGACTTTTAAAGGGGCCGACTCAGACTGAGTCATAAAGAAATTCTCTAAACACTGAAGTTTTCATGCTCAACTAAGAACTAGACTATACTCACCTTACGCTACCTTACCCAAACACATCCAGTACAGAAACCCATGCATAGACAGAACAAAGAAATACACTAAAAGCAAGGTGTTAAGTCAATGTGATACAACTGTAAACGCCGTAATCATAAATATATTTTGGTGAAGGTTTTCAGTTTGACGGCAACAGACATCAAGTGTTGTGTTTACTTCTCCACACTGATGCACTCGGCTCCAGTCCAATGACAAGCAGTCCTACAACATCTAACAACTCCCCCACACACAAACACACCCACACAAACACACACACACACACACACACACACACGGTTCCAACTACCTTCTATTCTGGGGATCATAATTATTTGATGCCGGAGCTTCTGGTTTCTCAACCCCCCTTTTGTACACACGATCCATCTTTGAATAATTTAGCACAGGGAGCTAAAAAAGGTGGTCCCTTAAAACAGCAGGTACTTCCAAACTCAGGAGGCACACCACACGGAGAGAGCTTTATCTCATCTAGTCGTCCACCCACTCCTTACACGCATCTCTTCTGTCGGGCTCTTGTACCCACGTTCTTCAATCAAGCTGTATATCAATCCATTCTTTCATCCATCCATCCTCACATTCTTTTCATCGCACCAGGGACCACGGTGTCCGCCCCAGGTAAGGAACTCCTTGGATAGACTGACGATCTCTCTCGACGTCCCCTCCTCAATCAGCCAACATGGAGGAACTCCAGAGAAAACTGAATCAACGCTATGAAGGCACCAAGCCCAGAAAGGTGAGTTATTTACAGCATGTGGCTTTATATTACACAACTAGCTGAAGCTGGTGTGCTTGAAGATGTTTCTCAGCTTCTAATTGCACCTGATGTCAAACTGCAAACTGAATAAAGCAGGATGTTAGCTTGTATGTTGACATGCTGCAAATGTATGCACCCCCCAGTAGTTTTTTATTTCTACCCATAAATCTTCTTTTGTATGCTATCAAGCTATGCAAATAAGTATCTTAACAGCAGTTTACATGCCACTGCACCTTCTCAGCATGTAAAACCGTGGATTATAAACATGTCAACTTCAACTCAAAACAACAGGTGAGGTTCAAGCTGGCGTCGTCCTACAGCGGTCGGGTGCTGAAGCACGTGTATGAGGACGGTCAAGAGCTGGACAGTCCAGAAGAGAAATACCCTCACAGCTTCGTTCACCGCAAGATCCCTCCCAGCCACTTGGAGGTGGAGCAGCTCTGTGGGTTTGAGGAGGCTCATGGGGACCAACCGGGTGGGTTTTTCTCATTGTATAACACCCTACCACTGTGTCTGACGTTATATGCGTGACTGCACTGAGATCTGTTTGTGTGGGCTGTAAGCCAGTAACCAGGGAGACCAACAAGATGGGTATATTACATGTGTGTACGGTACTCCAGCCTATGCGTTGGAGGGTTTTCCATGAAATAATTTTGGTTTCATAGGAATATGATGGCTGTGTGTGATTGAGACTTTGCTGTACAGTGTGTTTGTAATCGTGTGTGCACAGTAGAATTGTCAGTATGCTTACAAACATCTCAAGTACAAAGTGTTACAGCAATCTTTGTGATGATGATGGGACACATCTCAAAGCCACGCAATTAGAGGTTCAATAGCCCACCTATACGTGCACTTATCATACTGTCATCTGCAATCAGTAAGACATGGTCTATAGGCGAATAATCACATGCTGAGCTGAAACCTGTTGTTTCTCTCTCCCAGTTGTACAAGAAAGACATTTTCTCTGCTCTGATGATGGAGTAAATCTAGCCAAATCTAATATCTAGCTGATTCCTGAGTGCAAATGATACAACAGATCACCATTTTGTCAGTTGGAACGCTACCAATTTCAAAGATGAAATGCGAAGCTATTTTAGTAAGTTTATACTGTAGTGAGAATGCACATATTCAAAACATTGTTAGAAATAGTGTATAGTGTTCTGTTAATAGATTTGACATTAAAGGTAAATAAGTGTATTTGCTTTGTTGCAGAGAGTTAAATGAGAAGATTGATACCACCCTTATATTTGTACAGTAGCTACAAATTAAGCAGCAGACAGCAGCCACTTAGCTTAGCTTAGCATAGAGACTGAAAACAGGGGGAAACTGCTTTCCAAAGCCTACCAGCACCTCTAAAGCTCACTAATTGAGATATCTAACTGAAGTGTAATACTTATATTTAGTAATTTCTAGTGAGAATGCACCACTTACTGAAATACATGATTTGACGTTGAATGTTGTTAAGACGGAGGATTTGGAAAGGCTAGGATGCTATGCTAACACAGCTAGCCTTGATGATCACAGTTAGTAGAATTGGGAGGCTGTTCTCTCTCAGCATATCAAAGTATGGGAAATGCATGCTGTTTGTGGATAAAACCTGGACCCTAGTCTCAAATGTCCAGTACAAGTTATCACTCTATCCTGACAACATGTTTTGTTCTGTATACCCAGGTGTGTATCCTCCAACGGGGCTCATTGCCCAGAGAATAAACGTGTACAGAGGAATGGGAATCTACAAGCCTGCTGCAGGCCAGACTGAGGAAGTAGAGGGAGATGCTAAAGTAAGCAATAATGCTGATTTTTAAAAGTGTCAACTGTTGTCTGAAGTACTGAGACCTATCTTTATAGTCCTAATTCATTCTCCAGTACAGTAAAGCAGAAATCAGAAACGATACGATTCTGTTGAATGCTGATTACAATGTTCATCAACATCAACAGTTTACTTAATTGTAATCTTAAAAAAACACAGTTTGGTATTGGAGATTGTGATGTAGAACCAGAAAAATTGTCAGTTCAACATACGTATGTAGTTATTTATGGATGTGCTGTTTAGAATTGTCTGCTATTTCTAACAACACCTACAGAAAAAGCCTGTTAACACCTTTTAAATCATGATTTTGAGTTACTAATTGTGAAGCATGATCACTATGCAAGGTCTCAGTGGGTATACTTGTATAGAGGGAATTATAATAAGAAAGTATCACAGCTCCTTGGAAGATTTCTTTTTTTTTTTGAAACCCCACAGAGCTTTGCATGGAACATATTCTGAAAATCAAACAGACACGACAAAATAAACATACGCAATTACCAGCTGACGCAAAGTAATTTAATAATGAATTCATACATCTTTAGAACAGAACAAGCAAACAAAACTTTACAATAGAATATAAGAATAATCCTTTGGTAATTAAAGCACCAACTGCTTGCTTTTCTGTGATAAAATTGTACAGCAATTTAAGTTGAACTACAAAATTGTTCATCTCAAAGGAAAAAGCCTTGCTGAGCCGCTGTGGTAGTGGCTTCATTAGTGCAACAGGCGGGGGTCAGCGACATCGCCTGCTGGCTTAGTGTCAGTTTCATTCTTTTATCCTCTAAACAAAGGCATGCATGGCCCTGGTGACCAAGGCCAGTATTTATCACATTTATCAGTTGGAAACAGCAATCTGGATTTAGTTTATCCTTTCAGGGCATTATTGAAAGAATGGCACAGTGGTCCTAGAGGAGCACCCTGTGCAAAGTCTAATGAGTTCCTCCCTGATGTATATGACTCCAATGCTTTCTCTCTGTTTTTCATAATAAGGGAGATTCACTGGCAAAATGCCATGCACTTTATCTGATTTTAATTTCTGAATGTTTGAAAAAATGAAACCTATCAGATACTTTTTTTTTTAAAGTTTTTTTTGGAAAGTCAGAAATATCAGGGCTTAGCAAAGTAATCACTGAGTGGTAATCAACAATGCAGCCCTGCTGATATGGATGTGGAAGTTAGAATCTGATTAATTTTGTCCATAAGCAATCATTTTTCTGATTCGCTCTCCCCATATTAATTGACCCACCATTGGAGCACTTCCACGGCTTGGATCAATATGAAAGTCTTCCAGTTAAATCATCAGTACAAAAGATAAACAAACAAAAAATATCTGGTTCTTTGAAAAAAGAGTTGAAGGTACAAGCATGTGTACATAAAATGTGTCAGACTGTAGAAGTTATCCAGATTTAGATAATACACTGAAAATCTGTGTTAAAAGAGAAAGTACTGTAGTTTCCAATTTCTCAGCTACAAAGCATGTTGTGTTCTGCGCAAGGGATGTGACTCTTCATCTGCATTCAACTAGAAAACCTCTTCTCACCCACACATAAAGCCCACAGCTAAATGTGGGCACTCTCTCTCAGTTCCAAGGATGGAATCTGGGAGTTGTCAGAAATCTCTAACACAACTAGATGCTAATGAAAATATTTAATCCTAGGATGCATCAGTTGTTGTTGTTGTTGTAACTGATGTAGGATTATATCTGACGCGTTCTGTTTTCGTCAGTCCTCAGTGTTGGACTTCGGCAAGATAATCATCTACACCAGCAATCTGCGCATCATCAGAGCGCCGCAGAGGAAGCCTGAAGTGTTGCGGCACACAGTGCCTCCTGTGGACTTGGAGGGATACCCAAAGGCCAGGGAGAGGGGGAGCAGGAGGAGGGCTAAAGCTCTTTGTATGCTGGACGGGGAGGAGAAGGAGGAGAAACAGATCAGCGACACAGAGACCAAGGTAATGATCCTTGGCCAAATTATTCTCAGCGGTGTGGTAGGGGTTTTATCACCCTGCTTCTGCTTCTTGGTATTCTGTCTCACCATGTACTTATCTACCGCCCCCCCCCCCCACCCACCCACCCCCCTCTCCATCTCTGCATATGTCTTCAGCCACCCTTTATCTGCAATTTCAAGAGTGTAACTGTGGGATCGTCTGTGCAGCCATATTGTTGTAATTTTAAACTGTTCACAGAGGGCTGTTCATTCTCATCCCAAAATATTTTCTTTTTCCCTGTAACTGCCACCAAATTTTTCCCCCTCTTTCTCTC